GGGAATTGTGCTGGAAACCGGGCTCCCTAGAGGATCAGAGCTCTTGCAGCTTCACTTTCTGCTGCTCAGGTCAGAGCAGAGGTGCAGCTGCATTGCTCAGCACTGCAGATAAATGTCAGGGAACAGGAGCTTGGCTATGGATATGTAGGTTTATGTATATAAATATATCAGTGCAGCTCTCTGCCAGCCAGGTCAGCCAGGGCTGTGTGTGTTTGTAGGATTTCTGATTTCTGAGCTGGTTTGTCCCGTGCTCCTGCCTGCCCTGTGCCTGAGCTAATCCAGAGCCAGCTCGTGCATCTCTAAACGCTGCTGTTCTCTGTAGGCAGACTCAGGGGTATAACCATTCCTGTGTTTAGATTTCCACCTCCCAGTGAAACAAATGTCTGTGAAATCAGTCAGGTTTTTTTTTTTTTTTTTGTTTTTTCTCTCTGTCTCTCTCAAGGGCTTGTGTATCCTGCTGGAAGGAATTCCATATTCCTGGCAGAAGTCTGTCTCTGTGCAGAGAGGTGTTTGTTTTGACGTGGTTCTCAATCTTCAGATGAGAACCAAGGAAGTGCAGGCTGTGTTGTTCTGTTTTTAACTCATCTTAAACCAGTTTGTGTCTGGAGAGGCTGCCCTGCCCTCCCACCTCTGCTGCTCTTCTCAGGGTTGTGGTTGTCCCCTGTGCTGCTGTGAGCCTGGCAGGGTGGATTATTGTCCAGGCAGGTTCTGTCCTGGTGGAATTCACCAAGGGAGAAGGGTGGAGACCTGCAGGAGGAGCTGAGCTGGTGATCAGATGGGTTTAAAGCATTTGTGGAACTGATCTGGACATGGAGATTGAAATCCAGGGTGGTGACTGATGGAGAATCAGATGTAAAGCAGATTTTCTTCACTCCTCCATGTAAATGCCTTAAGCATTAGGTATTAAATATTGAGTATTATTGAGTAAAAAGTTAGTCTTTTACCTTTAATATTGGAAAGATTATTACTATTTTGCTAAATTATTATTATTTAGCCTTTTGACTCCTCTCACCTTACTGCTTCTCAACCTTGCTGGACATCTTTCTTTCAATAATAAATATAATTTTTTGCCTTGCAGTAGCAAGTAGAGTGTTGGAAGTACAGACTTGAACTGCCAAGCATTGCAAATTTACTCCTGCCAGCTGATTAATCCCACAGCTTTGCTATGAGTCAGGTAGAAAGGGTTTTGACTTTATTCTGGATGAAATGTTTACCATCTGTCTTTTGTGTCTGCATTGCAGATGTGAGCTGGACTAACAGCTGGAGGTCTGCTCAAGACTGGCGATGTTTATATTTTTAAAAACTTATCACTTTGCTTCATCAAACGTTGCTTTAGCTGATGTAGATTTTAAATATTTTTACTCTTAAGTTGGAGTTGCAGCACAGAAATGAGCTGCAGTCACTCGTGAGCAGCTTTGACCCCCAGAAATTGCTGTGTGAGTCACAAGGAGAATGGATCTGTTGTGGAGGAAAACCAGGGAGTTGTAGTGTGACAGACAAACAATTCCACATGCTGAACATTTTGGGTTCGTAGGATGTCCCAAAAAGCAGAATTATGCTGTGTGAAGAGGCTGGTGGCAAGGGTGGTGTGGGGTTACAATTGTGGGGACTGTTACATAATGGAGAATTCTGCTGCTGTGTCTTGTGTTTGTGGGGTTCCCAGATGAGGGAAGGAATGATGAATCTGACTCCATGCTCTCACAAGGATAATTTATTATTTTATGATACTATATTATATAAAAGAATGCCATACTAAACTATACTAAAGAATACAGAAAGGATACTTACAGAAGGCTAAGAAGATAATAATGAAAAATTGTGACTCCTTCAAGAGTCCTGACACAGCTTAATTGTGATTGGTCATTAAGTCAAAACAATCCACATGAAACCAATGAAACAATCACCTGTGGGTAAACAATCTCCAAACACATTCCACAACACAGGAGAAACAAATGAGATAAGAATTGTTTTCCTTTTCTCTGAGCCTTCTCAGCTTCCCAGGAGAAAAATCCTGGGCAAAGGGGTTTTTCCAGAAAATATGACGGTGACAGATGTGGATTTTGGCTCCACTTGTTCCACTTGTCCAAGTAAATACTTGTTATTATTTGCTAAAGTAAATACTTATTTTCTTTAGAGAGAGGCTTTGCAGACAGACTGGCTAAACAAATGCTCACACTGAGCATTGCTGAGCTGGATAGAGACATTTCTGTGCTGCTGTACTTAGGAAAAGCTAAAAGCTTAGAACAGGAGACATTTTGGCACATGCTCAAGGAAGAAGAAACACAGGCAATAGAATTCCTAAAATATATTCTTGATGGAAGTCTGGAGCTGGGTTCAGGATTAGGACTGCAATGTCTCTATACTTCTATGGCAGTATTTTTACAGCACTATTAAATTATATTTCCTTTCAGTGGAGTACTTAAAGCTACTTCTGGGGAATATTTGGTCAAATAGTCATAAAATACTCGGAGCATCCTGTCCTTTATCCAACTGAGCAGTCCCTGTTTGGTGTAGGAAGTTCAGTGCAGAAATTGCAAGGAAGAAACATTCCATCTATTCTTACATAAACACTTGGGCAGGTAACTTCTCTTTAGTCTTGTCATTTAAAATTGCTGTTGTGACAGCAACTGAAGGATTGCTGAGAAAAATACATTAATTTCACTTTTTTCTTATTTGCTGTTGTGGTGTAGATTTGACTGCAAATGAAAAACTGCCGCAAGTTTTTAATAAGATTTTTTTCTTGCATGTTCCCTTTTTATATTTGAAAGCCACTGTGGTGGATTTAGTGTTGGTTAATTATTAGTGTATTTATTTTTTGTTGTGAGGTAGGGTTGGGAAAAAAGTAAAGTAGGCTTAAAATTTTAAAAGGGTATAAAGAAAAATTTATTAATAGTAACTAAAAGAAAGTCATAAAAATTAGAATAAAATCACCCTTTTATTTTGAGTTCTGAGGGATATTTGTTTTATTTTTTAGTAAAGGTTATATTCTGGCCATATTCTGGCTGTAACAAGTGATCACCCAGGTTATTTTTAGTATCACCTGCATGACTGCCATCCACTGAAGTGAATTTGCTTTTGTAGGCTCTGGACTATGGTACAGCTTTGAATTTGTTTTTGAATTATGACAAGTTTGAGTACTCACATTAATACTTAGTGAGGAGAAGTGTGCTTAGTGAAAAGACTGTGACACATTTGAAAATATCCTAACTCATAATTAACCAATTAAAATAATTGTCTACTTCAGGTTTGTATTTTGAATTCCAGAGACCAACTGGAGTGGCAACCAACTTTATATAAAAAAGAAACAGGCTCTGAAAGATAATTAAATATTATCGGTTGGAAAAATGATGGCTCCCCCATCACCCATGTTTACAGCAACTAGAAACTGTCTCACAATTTCCTTTAATCACGCCTGGGTTTTTTCAGCACTGTAAAACATGAAACCTAATGGGTTTCTGTGGAGGACTGGAAACTGAATAATAGTGATTTTAGCACTCACTAGATATTATCTGATAATTCTGTTACCAAATGTTTGCGAGTGAGAGGAGGCTAATGATGGTTTTATATGTGATTTATAAATATATTGATCAGGGAGTTCTGATATGCCTCTCTTTTTGAGCAAGTATTTAAACCCAGTGAGAATCTTCTGCAGAGACTCACCGGCCTGTTGATATTGATTGATAGTGATTCCTCCAGACACTCTCCTGAGTAGAGCAGTAGAATTTATTTTGTACATACTGGATAATGCTGCTAAATCCTGAGTAAGTGCCTTGCTGGATTCATGAAGTGGATTGTGATTCAAGGAGCAATAGCTGAATTTCTTTTGATTTTTGTTCCCTTAATTGCGGTGGTGATTAATTCATTTATTTATTTGTAAATTTTAGTACTGAAATTAGCTTATTGATTAAAAAAACTAAGATAAAATGCCAAAGTTGCTAAGTTAAAAGTAGTAAAATTGCTTTCTGAAGAAAACAATTTGAAACTTTTGGGATGCTCTATGCAGAGGGGCCTGACTTGAATCTCACATGATATCCAGTATGATATTACTGGTTTGTCTTTACCTGTTAAGAGTTCTCATGGTATGCAGGACTGCTAATTTTTCATTTTAATTGCGAAATAAATATTTAAATCGGAATTATTTGAAATGAACATTTTTTTTCATTTGATTTTTCTGTCTTCTTGGGTTTGGTGGACAGGTTAATTTATATGTGGCTTTCCTTGTCACCAAATACTTAAATCACTTTCCAGCTCAGTGAGGTGCACTGGATGTCTCCTGCAGCCTGACAGCTGGACTTCTCTGTATCTGGAATTACCAAAATGAGTTCAACTGTTAAGAAAATGGCATGAAAACCTGAAATGGTGAATAAAATGACAGCAGTTTGCTGTTGTCTTAATTTTGGGCTTTGTTTAAGCTTTTAAGCCCACGGTGGTCCGGAGAATCTGCTTTGTCTTTAAATGAGTACTCCTCTTCTTGATGCAAAATTAAGAATATTGTGGGAGAAATTTGATTCAAAAATCTGAACACAGTTGTTGAGTTTGTTTCATTCCACATCTGACTCTTCCAGTTCCTTGCCTCTCTCACTCTGAAGGGTGCTAGGGGATATGGGTGTTGTAGTAAGTTCATAAAACTTCCTTACACTTTTCCCCTGCTCCAGTTTGGGGTCTCTTTGTGGGATAAACTCCTTCAGGATAAACCTGCTCTTGCCTGTGCCCTCCATGGGATGTGGTTCCTTCAGGACACACGCATCTGCTGTGGTCTTGGAGGTACAGGAGTAAAAATAATAATAAAAAAAATATATATAAGAATATAAACATCTAAACACCCATTGGATGTGGCAGTGGTGCACCTGGGAGTTCTTGGGAGCACAGGAACACCAGCAAGACTATGGAGAAGTATTTAATATGTGGCTATATATATATTTATTCTTTAAATAAATGCTCTGCAGTGTGTGGATATTGCAGTAATAATTCTCATGCTGTGTGATTTTTATCTGTTCCAGGGAGTATGACTTCTGCAACGTCACCTATCATTCTGAAATGGGACCCCAAAAGTTTGGAAATCAGGACTCTCACAGTAGAGAGGCTCTTGGAGCCACTTGTTACCCAGGCAAGTGTCTTTGGTTTGTTTTGTTTCTTCCTTCAGCCTGATGCTGTATTTACTCTCTTTACATAATTATCTTAATGGTATTTGATAATAAAAACATGAGCAGTTTTTGTTCGTGATCTCTGTTGGAAAGCTCTGCTCAAACATGTTTAGAGGCTCTTGTCCTAAATAATTTATAGCCTCAAAATGTGAGCAGGAATACAGTAGCAACAACTATTTACTTATGTCTGTGTTATAAAGCAATTTAGAAACTTAACACTCAGTCTGAGATAGGGATCTGACTGAGACTTGCTTCTGGCTTGTTATTTCACCATGAAAGGCTCAAAATGAAAACAAACCAAAACCAACCATCCAAATTACAGAAACTATTAAAACCTGTTTTTATGGAATGTTTGTAGAGGCCTGGTGCCTTTTTGTTTCTGAGTTGCTGTTAATAAGGGAAAGCTGCTACTTTAATTCCCCCCAAATGATGTCTCTCTATGGTTTCTCTGCTCTTTCAGTGAGTCAGTTTCCAAAGCTGGCTGTTTTTCTTTGTTTTTGAAAAAAAAATTGTTTCTTCTCTACAAATTATTCTGGACATGAAAGTCCCTAAGTCTAATGACTTTACAGAGTCAAGGCAGAGAGTTTGTTCTTTCATTCCACATGGTGATAACATGGTATTTAACTTCCATGGTAAACCCTGATAATTTTGTTCTTGGTATGAAAGAGAGACTAAAATTCTGAATTCACTGTGAAAACAGCTGAAAATGAGGTTGCCAGTTCTTTGTTATTCTGGTACTGATCAGCCTGAGCAAGTGAAGCTGCTGTGCACCAAACTCTGTTGTGAAATCCAACTTATTTTGTCCTCTGGGAGGAATTTCTTGTTCTCCTTTTGCTTTATTTTCCCCTGCTTTACCCAGAGAAGAGAAAGCATCAGCCCAGGAGTTCCATTGTAGATTCAGTTTCACCAGGGGCTGGGTTAACTTTGTGCTCAGCCACACCTCTGTTTGATAGCACGCTTCAGCAAATGCAAATCAAGAAATTACAGCTGAGCTACAGGACTTGGATTTCATCAATGATAAAAACTCATGTTCCCAAGATTGTGTTTTGATGAGCAACAATGTGTTTCTGTTTTAGCAGTGTGTCAAGGAGACTAGGGAAAATAAAATGCTGTCAAGAGAGGGTAGACAAATGTTAGGCTATTGTTTTATTCAACTTATATGAATATTTCCATTCTGATTTCTTCTTTTCATAGGCTTCTAGATAAAATGAATAAATAAAATAGAAACCTACTTTTTGAACATGTGATTTGATTTCTTATATTAGGGAAATAAGTAGATTTGCTTTTTTCCCTCTACTTTGATTCCAGTGGAGTATGTTTGGCTAAAACCTGTTTTATATGAGCCACACAAATGTAATCACGAAAGCTCCAAGTGATGAAAAACGTGTTACCTTCAGATTGCCTTTATCTGTTGCATTTCTAGCTGAGGCTGTTCAGCTGCTCTTTCTGTTTTTTCTCAGATAAGTTAAGGATCATCCCAGTTTTAAAGACTTTTTTTTGTTTTTTTTCCTTTGCCTGAAATAGCATTTGCAGTCTGCTCAGGTCAGGAATAATCTCTGGTTTGCCTGTGCCGTGGCAACCTCCACAAGATGCCACGTGCAAAAAGATTGGGATCTCCTTAAAAAGTTTCAAAGCAATTTCCTTGCTGAGAGAGAGAACATCTAATTTGAAACTTTATCTTGGCAAATAAATAAATAGATAAATGTATAG